TGCCCAGCACCGTGTGAACTGGATCACGGTTTGCCAGTGTTATCTTGGTCACACGCGTGCAAGTGTTTACACGTCGTGTGAATGGCCTATTACGACACACGTGCACAACTGCCTCCTTCCAACCCGGCAAATATTTTGATTTCAATAAAAACGATTCAAGAACTCCGAATTTCTTAATACTATAACTCAATTAGTGAAATTTAAAGCGAACCAATATGACAAACGTGCACGACTGCCGGGGTAGTACTTACAGAACGGCAGGACGTTGGTGCTCGAGCACGCCGGGCAGATGAACGTGGGAGCGGCGCCCGAACTGCCACCACCAGCACCACCGCCACCGCCTCCACCTCCCTCACCGTCGTCACCTCCACCGCCACTGCCACCACCGTATCCACTGCCACCATCGCCGTCGCCGTTGCTGAACGCCAGCTCGCTGATGCGCGAGCGCGACACGATCAGCCGCTGGTCCGGGTCGAGGCTGATGGCGCGGCGTCGCAGCTGCCGCACCCGCGGCACGGGCGTGGTGGAAAGGCACACGGCGGGCCCGGCGCGTGTCAGGTCAGATCCAGTACGTACGTCTGCACGCACACACATACACACACGGAAAAAGAGGTTAGAACCGGAAATACGTCTGGCCTGTTAAATTGCTGGCATTGGATATTGAAGAATACAGTAAAGTACCGCGAGAGCGTCCAGTCTCGCGAGAGCGTCCAGTCTCGCGAGAGCGTCCTGTCTCGCGAGAGCGCTCCACCTTGATTTTACAGCCAGGGAAAGGAAAATCGTATGGCAGAGTGCAACGAGAGAGCTTGGAAGCTCAGGGCCCTACGCTATGCTTTTTTGCCTTGATGACCTAGACAAAAAAAAGCATAGGGATGTTATAAATTCTTTAAAAAAATCCTTTTTTTTAAGACATAATAACCTGGGATTCGAACCCGCACTATCGCGCGCCCTGCATGCATCCCCCGATACACTTCGCATACATACTAATTCTTCCAAGTTGTTTCACATTGTGATCTTGCATTTGAAAGCCCTATTTGAATATGCATTGTGGCCAGCCGTCTTTGATGGCACAGTACGGTAGGGGATAGGTACGGGACAGGTACGATCGAGGGTAATACGACACCGTCTCCCGTACCGTACCGTACCATCAAACACAGCTGGCCACATACAGCTGCCCGCAATATTCAAATAGGGCTTTCAAACGCAAGATAATAACGTGAAGCAACTTGGAAGAATGGGTATGAATGCGAAGTGTATGGGGGAATGCATGTAGGGCGATAGTGCGGGTTCGAATCCCAGAATATGCCTGAAAAAAAATAGGAGAATTGAAAATTTATAACATCCTATGCTTTTTTGCCGTCAGATACGGATAGCGCCAGGCGTGACACAAACAAACAAACAAACACACAAACACACAAATACCAAACGAGAGAGCTTGGAAGCTCAGGGCCCTACGCTATGCTTTTATGCTTTTTTGCCTAGCTCATCGTACATGTTATAAGAACTGATGGAATTGTCTTTTCCGTTGATTGGCCACATCACTGTATTGCAAAAACGTTTCAATCGGTTTGAATATTATGAGTTAGGCAAAAGTATTTGCAGAATATATTGCGGATTGTTGTTTCTCTAATAATCATCTACTTTTGTTTTGCTCCTTCTTTAATTTTTATCTCCTTATATTGTAAATCAACAAATTTTGGGCGATGAGAAATAGAAACCTCTCGATTAGAGAGGTTAAGATGCACGTTATTTCCGACGTGACGCGCAGTTCACGTCAAATTTGAAATCGATCGGTATTTTTGCTCTCACATGCATCCATTGCTCAATCATGCATCATTTGCCTAAATGACAAACGCTGGCCTGCGATTTACTTTGGCCGGTTGGTACCAAGCGGCGAAATCAGCGAAATTAAATCGCCAGCGAACATTAGCGGAATAGCGCGAGCTCCGGTGTGGGGAGCAAACCCTTTCTTACAAATCATCGCCGAAGTCGCAACCACTACAGCGAACATTAGTTGATTTTAATACAGGAATCGGATTTTCTGGCCTTTTTGTAGTAATACATCTACATTGACCTGTTGAGCCAATGACGACGCCGAATGCATGGTTGCCTGTGGAGCACATTACATAACTTTACAGTCTCCTAAAATACGTATCCTGTCCGACGGCAAAAGAGGCTGCAGATTTAGTTTTTCTGCGCGTCGACGGGATGTCTGCGACGCGAAAGTTCAGCTCGCGTTATTTGGCTCGCACGTCGAAAAGATCAACGCGAGTGACCTGCTGCTCACGTCGAAATTTGGACATTACATAACTTTACAGTCTCCTATATAAATACGTATCCTGTTCGACGGCAAAAGAGGCTGCAGATTTAGTTTTTCTGCGCGTCGACGGGATGTCTTTCCTGACGTTTACTGGGACCGGCGCTGACTCTGCCGATCACGGGCGTTCTGGACTCGACGGGATGTCTGTCCTGACGTTTCCTGGGACCGGCTTAGACTCTGCCGATCACGGGCGTTCTGGACTCAACGGGATGTCTGTCCTGACGTTGCCTGGTACCGCCGGACTCTACCGATCACGGGCGTTCTGGAGTCGACGGGATCTCTCTTCCGACGTTTCCTGTGACCGGCACTGAATCGCTCATTCACGCTTATTTTGGAGACGACGGGATCTCTCTTCCAAAGTATGTTTATGCTGACGCATCCTATCACCTAATCGGCGTCTATGCTAATTTAATTTCCTCCTCGTCTCCCTATTTCTTTCCAAATCCCACTCTACATCAGGGAGTCGTATGCATAATACGACGAATATTGGTACGGTACGGGACAGATACAGGAGCCCGCAAATATTGTGGACAGCTGTTATGTACAATCCTGTAGAGCCTTTGTAGTCACAGATACGGGACAGATACGGGACAGATACGGGATAGCGCCAGGCGTGACACAAACAAACAAACAAACAAACAAACAAACACACACACAAATACCAAATTAAAGCTGTGTGGACCCTGGCTAGCGCCAGACGTTACTGAAGTAACGTCTTCCGCATAGCTACGGGAATTAAAGCTGTGTGGACCCTGGCTAGCGCCAGACGTTACTGAAGTAACGTCTTCTGCATAGCTACGGGAATAAAGTTTGTACGGTGTGAGAACCTTGGTGTACTGTACTAAGGTCACGCTCAGCATGTTCTTGTGTGCAGCTCCAAGATAAACTGAATGGGGATTGACTGCACAGCTGTACCACACTTCGGTGTTTGTGCTTAGTGTCCACTCCATAATGGCACTCCATGCTTTGCATGTGCGCTGATAACCACAAGGCAAACTGACCAAGACGCCGATCTTTCAAACTGGACCGGAATTCGTACACTCGTTCACAGCTTCAAAGGTTGTCTCATGGTATGTTGTACGGAGGCCTAGCATCGCGAAATTCACTTTCGAAGTCGAGTTCAAATGACGAACAGGAACGTGAACTTTCGCATTTTTTTTTCCAAAAGTCGACAGAACACGAACGTGAATTCGAGGTAGGAGTCATAAATTTACTACGTTGTGCTGTCTGTACAGATGTATGACCTGTGAACATCATGCCAGAACGGATTCTGTTTGCTGATCCTCTCTGAAATGCGTGTTTCGTCACCGAGTGTAACTTTCCTTGGAGTGCGAACACGAATGCGAAATTTGCCTTGCTAAACCTCAGTATTAGCAAGAGTAGATAAACAAGAGTGTGCAACTCCAGATCTCTTCTGCACAATCTGCCGATACCCCTGCCCGCGGCGGAATTTTTTGTTGACGTCACCTTTTTTTTCTTCTTCAGATAAGAGCGCTTTTTGCCGCGGAACAGTGTGAGAGCACGTGCTGGGCGCCGACCTTGTAATGTAAAGCCCGGCCAAGTGCACCACCCAAAACTTTCCAAGACTCACAGCGCGTGCGTCGTAGAAAAGATTACGTCAACAAAAAATTCCGCCGCGGGCCAACCCATCCCGGAGTTGCACACTCTTGTTTATCTACTCTTGGTATTAGTGTTGCACATAAAATGCCTGCTTGCTTGGCAGACACTGTGACAAATCAACAACCAGTGCTAGCACTTCAAATCGTTCTCTATCTGCCAGGTGCCAGGATGCAGATAGCCACTGATTGCTTTGTCGACATGAAACAGCTGAGTCTGTTCGCACTGCACAATCACTGCCACCAGCCCTTGCAGTGGAACTCCAGAGCTGTTTCAGAGTTGAACATTGCAACGTATCGTTGTATGGCCTATGGGTGGAATACCACGACGCAATATACGACTTAGTACAGCTGTAGTACTTTTTCCAAGAAGCAGATCATCGCTTTCAAACAGCAACCTATGCCAGGAAGCCGCCCCTCGGTATGACTAACCTCCACAACCATCCTTCAGCAAGGCTGAGAAGTCGCGACGCTTTACCATCTCGCCGCGGGTCCATCTCAAGGCTGGGGACCGTAGGACATTCTGCAAGTTCATGTTCTTTTCGAAATACTACACCCCAAATAATATCCTTTGCTGAGATACAATTATTATGAATGCACTGTCATTCCGAAAGCAACTGATTCTAATACATGTTACATGATTGTAGCTCTATCGCGAATCGGAGAAATGGTTATACTCCCACAATGAAGTAAAAGAGTTTAGATGAATACTACGAGCAAGCAACAATCACTATCACTCATACTCAAAACAAAACAGAAAAATACTGAAGTCAAAAATGTTCAAAACAAAAACAACGAGCTACGAGTACGAAGTCTGGAAGCTGGATGTCGCAACCAGGTTCAGCGAGCGAGTCGGTACTGACGGTAGCGACTCGACTAGCGATAGCTACGACTAGACTCGTAATCGTATGCGATCGTGGTCACTCTACGGACGGTACCGCGTATACCAGGTGGACGATACCCTAGGCTATGCGTGAATACAGTGGGGATCAGTGGTTTAGAAATTTTCGCATAATCCTCTCTGATGTTTTGGTAAATCGGAGAGAATAAACACGTACGTACGTGCTACTAGTATGCAAATTCAAGAAAATTAGTGTTTTATATCATTGCTACGTAACCAACTCGTTTTTGTGCACGTGCACGTGGAAAACCTTGCGCCATGCTGCCCACTTCGCGCGGCGCCGCGGCATTACCCACCTTGTGCGTGCGTACCTTTTTTGTGCAGTTCCTCCGCATGCTCCTTTCTTTGCAAACGCGTTTGTTTGTTGCATTTTCGGCTTGAGGTTGTGGACCTTCTTTCTTCTCAGTAGCCATGGCCGAGCGTGATTCTTCCGACGATGAGGAGGCTACCATTGCCTCTGACTTGGTCGTCACCAAGTACAAGACCGCTTCAGACATCGCAAACAGCACATTGGCGACTTTGATCAAGGAGTGTATTCCCGGTGCCAGTGTTCGTTCATTGTGCCAGAGAGGCGATGCTCTCATCCTGGCTGATACTGGCAAGGTCTTCAAGAAGGACAAGGAGATGAAGAAGGGAATTAGCTTCCCAACGTGCCTGTCTATCAACCAGTGCCTGTGTTGCTTTTCCCCGCTGGCTTCGGATCCTGATGTCATACTCGCAGAGGGTGACATGGTCAAGATTGAGCTAGGAACCCACATTGACGGATTTATTTCTCAAACTGCCCATACTCTCGTCGTCGGAGCCAGTAAGGAGAACAAGGTTACCGGACGAAAAGCCGATGCCCTTCTTGCCTGTCATCTGGCGGCCGAGGCAGCACACCGCTTGCTGAAGCCTGGTGGATCTGATGAAGCTGTCGCTGAAACAGTGCAAAAAATTGCGGAGGCTTTCGAGTGCAAACCGATTGAGGGAACGCAGTCCTTCCAGATGACTCGCAATGAAGTTTGTGGAGAGAAGACCATAGTTCTCAACCGTGGTGAGGCGGCTGGTGCCGCTCGCAAAGCCGTGGACAAATGCGAGTTCGCCATGAATGAAGTGTACAGCATTGATATTGCTGTTTCTACCGGAGATGGCAAACCTCGCCCCACGGACACACGGACGACGGTTCACAGGCGGACTGACGAGCAATACAACCTGAAGATGAAGGCCTCCCGCATTTTCTTCAGCGAGGTATGTCTGCATGCGTGCCTGTTTTTCTTTCACCTCTTTCGTGTTTTTCATTCTTTCCCGTCGTCCTTTCAGATTTGGCGGGTATGTTTGACAAGATCACGTGCGCACGACGGCCTAGTACTAAGACTAAGCGTATCCCCTTGACACGCATTATATCAGTGGCGATTTCGTGTGGGGATTTATATTACCTGCATCGTAGGTCGAGGCAGACTAGACTTCCATTGAAGCATTTAATTCAAAAATCTCAAAAATATTCCGTGTGTCTTGAGAAACACAAAATAATTATGTCATTTTGATAATTGATCAGCGTACGGAGTACCCTCAACCCTCTCTTGGGGGGGGGGGGGGGGCAGAAGGGTCTTTACAAGTGAGAAAAACCCCACATCTGAAAACACTCTACATAATATTATGTATCTTGTAATGCGTCCTGTGGACAGTATCTCCGTAAACTGGGTGTGGGGGACTGGGTATACTATCCTCTTGGTATTATGTGGTGCATACTTACAGCATACATGTAGTAATAAAAGTACTGGTGCCGAAAGGTGCCCGCATCGACCAAAAGCCATCCACTGTGTCATGAAATCCTGGCCGATCAGCGAGGGAGCTGGATGGACCGCCGTTGATTCGTGTCTATAACAGGAGTGTACTGCCGCTTTACACGTGAAATACGCACGCATGACTAATGCTGGGTGTAGTTGCTTTGCTCGTGTTTATAGTGTAATCAATGTGTCTCTGTGTGCTTGTGTGGGGTTTTCTGACCCGTTGTGTTTGTAGCTGTTGGTGTATCGGAGAGTAATGGCATGTCCTTATACTGGTCTTTGTGCACATTATAGGGATGTGCAAAATCCCAGTAGGTGTGTACATGCCCGGTTGGGTGTTCATTGAGTTCTACTAGTGTGCGTGCCCATTTAATAAATATAGCCCCATAGCCAATGGACGACCATCGCTTTTCCAGCTTCATCACTTTGGTTAGAGCTAATGACCAGCTGGGTCTTCTTTCGAAAAGACTTGTGTGAAATGCCTTCGGGGCACGTTTCGTAGTTGAAATAGCATTTAACACACTAGGGTCATGTACATTGAACACCCAGGCTGGTCTGCCGATTTCTACACGATTCCACGGGATTCTGTGCATGTGCACAGCGTACATACGGCTTATGATTATAAGAGCAGGTGTGAGACTTGTGCGTCCGTATGTTTTGCATCTGTTGTGCATGTGTGTATGTGCTGCTCAGGTTGATAAGAAGTTTGGCAACATGCCCTTCTCGCTGTCCGCTTTCGAGGACGAGCGCAAGGCACGCATGGGTGTTGTCGAGTGCGTGAAGCACGGCCTGCTGGAGCCCTACCACGTGCTGTACGACCGCGAGAACGAGTTCTGCGCACACTTCCGCTTCACGCTGCTCCTTACCAGCCACGGTGTGGACCGTGTCACCAGGAACTTCTTCGACCCGGAGACCGTCGTGTCCGACCACTCCATCGAGGATGCTGAGCTCAAGGCACTGCTCGCCACCTCCACTAGCGTCAAGTCGCAGAAAAAGAAGAAGAAGAAGGCAGTGGCCGAGGCTGCTGCCAGCCAGTGAGTAAGAGGAGTGCGTGTTGCCGAAGCCCGTCCCCTCATCTCTCCGCAACTATCAACCAAACTATTGACAACCGGAGTACTGAGCTGAATCGGACACACCCCGCGCTGCACCCTGACTACGCCGTTCTGCTGCCTAGATCTGGGGTGTAAGGACCAGAACACCACCATTATCTATGCAGCGGATGCTGCTACTGCTGCTTTATTGTTGGTGAGCCAGCCTTGTGTTCAGCAGCAGTGGTGTCGCCTAGGCTGTCTTGCTCGCTGACTGCATCGGTGGGCAATGCAGCCACATTGCTTTGTGTCGTTTCGTCACTTTTTCAATTGCCTCCGGGCAAGTGATGAGACCAGGCTCGTTTCGCCATCCGAGTGTGCATAACCTACGCGTGCAGTGATTGTCGCTGGAACCACCATTATCATTTTCCGTCCTCTTTTTATATGTTCTCTTTTACTGTGCGCTATGGGCAGCACTGTCTTCTCATCTGTGTCTGTAAATTGCTCATTGCTTTGCTTTGTTAACACTTTCTTGCCCTCTTTTGCAACTCTTTTGAGGCGTCCGTCTGTCTGTTTTCCAATGACCCAGCGTGTGTGGCCTTTTATACTGTACCTAACAAGATGATCATGATTGAGACTGAAACCAGCGCAATCTGCCTTGCCGTGCGAGTCTTGATGCTGCGGTGTTTGATTGTCACCGACACCGTGTTCTGGTGTGTGAGGACATACTGGTATGGTCTGTAACCTTCCAGGGTCTGTGTGTGGGTTGTTGTGCACTCTCGGCAACACCATAGACGTGATACTTTTTGATAGTGTACTAGTGTGTGGACTGCTTGTTCTTGTAGTGCAAGTAGTGTTCTTCACGACCACTGTGCGAAGAAGACAGCGCTACTGTTCAGGCTGTCACTGTGTTGCATCGTTTTGCTAAAGGAAAAGGTCAAAATGAACTTATCTTGCTATCACAATACAAGCTCAGGCGCGAGGTTCGGTTGTTGAGAATTATTTTGATTTTCTTTTACTTTTTATATGTTCAACAGTCAAACTACATTCTCGAGACTTTGTTGCGCCACAACACGCTGATGATTATCGAATGTGATGATGTAGTGCACAGTAGTGTAGTATAGGTCTAAAGTGTAGATCTACGTGTAATATGATGAGATGAGATCATCGCTCGTATACGCGTATACGCGTAGCAGATATAGATCACGAAACCTAGCAACCACGTGCAATCAGCGCAAAAATTATCACCCATCCAAAAAGTCTATGATCGACGCGACGTAGCGTGTTGCGTGCACATTATTAATTTTTGTGCTTTTTGATTTCCTTCCCTGATAGTTCTTGTGCTTCGATGTGTAATGTTGTCTAATTGATATTCTTAGTATTGTTGTGGAAAGGCCTAACTCATTAGTGACTGTCACTGGAGCCAGTACGTTATAATCGTAGTCTTCCTGCGAATAGCCATCGCTGTCAGGAGCTGAAGCAACCACTTGCAATTCCACATTGCCATGTTTGAAAGAACGATATGAACGTGATTTCGTTGATGCGATGTGAGTTTCAAGTGGCATCGATGTTGTGCGTGGGTCTTGTGCCTCTATCAGTATAATTATGCTAGTCGTTGTTGATCATTTTCATTGCGTAATCCTTGCACAAGGAGAGCGTTTCACTGATTTCTCCACGAGACGGTCATGCATGATGGTTTGAACCCGATTTGTGCATGCACATTTTGAAAACATTTTGCATGGAGCTGATATCACATCACCTCCAAACATTTCCGTGCGCGTATCGATGTGAGAGTCAGTCAGTCGCGTACACCAGCGACACTAGCACCCGTATAGCATTAGTATTGTAAACCAATTTCGTTCAGTGCAGGTCTTTGCCATTTTTGCTGCAACCAGTGGTCACTATTAGAAAACGTGCCACTCACATACTGCAGTACTGTCGGTGGCCGAAGAACTGGGGGTTAGCCTCCTAGCCTAGACCGTTCCTATCTTCATGTATTACAATCTGTGTGCCGCTCAGTCACCGTGTAGACAGCGGTATGCTGTGCTTGGTGAAGTTCTAGGTTGATCCTTGTTCTGCGCTCCGCTCTTTGGCGCCCGACAGTACCGTGCGCACATAGCTTACATAATGTGCACTCGGTAGTCCTTGCTGAGATCTGTTAAGTATTTAGTATTTACCAAGGCTATTTTGGCGTAATTTTGTCCACTGCCCTAACAATTGCTCCTACCAGACACTCTCCTGGGCAGTGTACAGTACTGTCGGGGGCCGAAGAACGGAGCGCCGAAGAACGGAGCGCCAAAGAACGGAGCGCCGAAGAACGGAGCGCCAAAGAACGGAGCGCCAAAGAACGGAGCGCCAAAGAACGATCAACCTAGAACTTCGCCAAGCACAGCATACCAATGTGTACATGGTCACTCAACTGTACATAGAAAATAGGAGCGGTCTAGGCTAGACGGCCGACCCCAGTTCTTCAGCGACCGACAGTACGGTATAAGTACTAAGTTTCGTTTGGAATTAGCAGTCGCTATATTCGTTACGGGGCACAAAATAACTAAAGTTTGTACCAAACCGAAGTTGACCCTTCTGAACGTTCGGGGTGACAGACCTCGACCAAAAACTAAGTTTAGTATGTAACGAACTTGCTGGTGGAGTGATCTAACGAAAGATTTCGTGAACGAAAATTTGTACTCACGCAGTAGTGTAGCCGATCACTGGTTGGTGGCAATGAAGACATTTGTAGTCGCGTTGTGTTTCATTTCTTGGTGCATCTGCGGGTGAATGTGTGTGCGTGTGTGTGTGTATGTGTGCGTGTGTGTGCGTACGTGTATGTGTATGAGCAGGCCGCCAGGTCTGGAACACAGCGCGGTGTAGCTCTGTAACCGGCGTGCTGCCTGGTGTTGGCGGGACCGAATCACCAGCGGCACGCCAGGTTTTGCCGAGAGCTCGTCCCGTGCCCGCACACAGCCTGTTCCCGACCCGCAGTTTGAGCTGGTCGCTATTTGGCAGTCGCAACAAGAGCAACAGCGATGGCCAGGACTCGGATAGTGAGAACGGGGACGATGCATCGTCGTCTGACCCTTCGAACACTACGGCTGTCAAGACAGGTAAGGCTAACCTGATTGCCGCCTTGTGTACTCGCTCCACACGTATATACACACGCACACATGCACACATGCACATACTTGTACTTGTACTTGCTCACTGCCAAAACTGGTCACGTGGGTCTCCCCGGGAGAGGGGAGAGAGACTCAAAAGGAATCTTGGAAAGATGACTCAATTGGCCATTGAACCACCCAATGGCCGACACCCCCTGAAATCCCCAAACTGGGGTGGACTTGAAATGATCCCACTTATGGGCTCACCACACCTCAGTAAGTGGTTGAGGACAAGGTGCAGAAAAAGGATTGACGGCATCAGGGTATCCGTCCCGGGATCCAACTGCAGGTACCCCTGCCCCCAGTGAAGGTAATACTTGGTACTAGTGTGAGTGGCTAAATCAGGGTGGATCTGATATAAGCTTCACTAGCACCATTGATTACACAAGAGTTAATCTAGCCAGAAGCAGTCCATGGTTAACAGGTATGTATACTTCAAACAGAAAGTATATGAAACCTGAAACCAACAAAGGTGGTAGGTACAACAATACACCTTCAAGCAGCCGAGCCCGTTGGCAACAGGCCCAACACTATCTGGCATAAGTGCACCCACCAACCGAACTAGCTGGCACATACACACACACAGACACACCACAGACACACACACACACTGTCACACACACATAACCTGTATGCACACGTGTGTGTGTGTGTGTGTGTGTGTGTGTGTGTGTGTGTGTGTGCGTGCGTGCGTGTGTGTAACCTGCATGCGCACTCACGCACGATGGTCCCCCACCTTTACCAGCGTCATGTTCAGTCCACTGCAATTACAATGGTGGGCAATTTTATGCATTGACTTTGGGTTTGCAGTAAACCCCCATGGTGTTTTGTTTTGTATAAAAGCACGTGTTTGAGTCCAATTGAAACCCTATCATTGGTATAGTCGTGTTTATTACGTTGGCACTTACTAAGGGGTCGTTCATAAATACCGAACTTTTTTCACGAAACGAAATAATTTCACTATGGGGTGGGGGGGTTGACCAATTTCGTTTCAGAAAACATTGATACATGTACATGGCCGTAGGAGCAGTGATACGTTTGCGACTTTTGTTGTATATGCGTGTACGTGCGAACATTTTTTACGTTCTGAGGGGGAGGGAGTTTGAGTCTAACCCTTTCAGTGCCAAGGGGGTCAGAAAAATTCAAATTTTTCTGAGTTGAGCTGAACTCAAATTTTTCATAGCTCAGCTGTATATCCACGGATCTTTACAAACGATGGCTCTCTGGAAAGATATCAAGGTCAGGCAGACAGCTGTGAAGAGAATATGCAGCGAAAATAGTCTTCCTCGCGAGGGCGCCTGAGCGAAGTCCGTTTTCTGCATTTTCGTAGCATCTGCACTTTCTCACGCGCGCGAGCAATCGCAGTGCAGTCAACTTTCAACGCACGGAATTCGGACAAAGTTGGCCTGAAAGCCGCTGAAAATCTCGATGTTTTGATACCCAATACGCATGGGTTGCCGCGAAAGAAATAGAGAAACCCGCGATGCGCATACGTCATGTTTTCTACGGGCGACAATTGTTTGTCCGAGCGCGCGCGCTTCAAGCTTCGCCCTGGCGATATCTATCCTCACGGACACAAAACGATGTGATGAGTCGATAGCCAAGGTCTTCCTGAACACGTAGAGTGGTCGTTTGTAACTCTCCTGTGTGTAGAAGTGGAGATACGAATTTATTTGTACACACATACTCATTTTGGGCGACTAAAGTCGCCCGTGGCACTGAGAGGGCTAAACTTAAAGGGGAAGTTAAGGCAAAAATAAAATTTCACCAGTTGTAGTCTTCAGGGTGCTGAGTCGAATGGTCTTGGTCCGAGGAAGCTGAGACGCTCCCTTCCTACTTGAATCCCAATCGAACTCGCGCACTTCCACCCAAACTGGGTGACTGCGCCCTACGAGATGGGGATTTGTATGCAAAATGTCACTAAAAGCGCCATTTCGTTCTTATAAAAGCACGGATGACCGCGATTGGCCCATATGTTGTAGTCTTTTGGACGCTGAGTCGACTGGTTTTGGTCCGAAAAGGCTACGATGCAGCGTTCCTCCTTTATTCCCAATCGAACATGGTTGAAGAAGCGGTCACGTGCTCCTGGGTGCCCAAATCACCTGGTCACCACGCCAGCAGGCGACAACTTTCACACCAAGGTTCAACTCGAGTGACAGGACTGCAGCCAAAAAAGGTCAAACAGGCTAGTAAGTTGTACCCTGCAGGCACGGTGACCAGCTGACTGGTGTACGCAGGAGCACGTGACCGCTTGTTCGACCATGTTCGATTGGGAATAAAGGAGGAACGCTGCATCGCAGCCTTTTCGGACCAAAACCAATCGACTCAGCGTCCAAAAGATTACAACATATGGGCCAATCGCGGTCATCCGTGCTTTTATAAGAACGAAATGGCGCTTTTAGTGACATTTTGCATACAAATCCCCATCTCGTAGGGCGCAGTCACCCAGTTTGGGTGGAAGTGCGCGAGTTCGATTGGGATTCAAGTAGGAAGGGAGCGTCTCAGCTTCCTCGGACCAAGACCATTCGACTCAGCACCCCGAAGACTACAACTGGTGAAATTTTGATTTTTGCCTTAACTTCCCCTTTCAACAATTTGTTTCATGAAAAAAGTTCAATATTTACGGACGGTCCCAAAGCTGGTTGTGTTTCTCAACACAATTATATAGCCGGTGGTAACACAGATATGCGACCTTTACTTTACTGAACTCATATGCGTATGTGTGCTGCATGTGTCGCCAGTTGTGTAGATTAGACAGTTATCTGGCACTCGTCTCGATCCGTTTTATTCAGATATTGTCCGCTATCGTAGCTGTAAGAAAAAAATCTGTGGCTGCACATCCAGTGCACTTGCAGATGTGCGTGCTTCTCTTGCGACTGGCGTACATTGTGTGTGTGTGTGTGTGTGTGTATATGCTTGTGTGTGTGAGTGTAATAATGTACATTTTGTTCATTTCTGGGTGACTGCAGAGATTCAGCTCTCGCCATACACCATCAATACGGTGATCTCGGCGGAGAGGGCCAAGCACTTCTATCTGCTCGAGCAGGGGTAAGGAGGAAGACCCCGTGTGATGGTGTAACACTGCCATGGGTCGTCAGTCACGTGTCCCCCCACCCCCACCCACCCACCCAACCACACGCATACACATATACACACACATGTCAGTATATTTTTGGCTTGGACTCGGACATGTACGGCCAGAATGGGTACCACTTGACACTCTGGCCCAATGTTCTGTTCGCAACACCTTATTACAAGATTCAGCCTTCGGGAGATCAGGTTCCTGTATAGGTATCACTTTGAGTTGTGCCTGGTCCATAGAATCCATTGCGCATCCTTTACCGGGTTTGTGCCGCTCTCAGGCGTTCACTCTGTTGAACTGACTTTGTAATGTTCTTGTGTGCAGGCATCTTGACCAGCTGGAATCGGTGCTGCCCATTCGCAGTGCGTACGCCAGTGGCGACCGCGAGCAGATGTACCCGCTGTCCGCCGTCCAGGCCAAGTAAGTGATGTGCTTCTGTCCTCTTCGAGTGAAGAGCATGTCAATTAGCACATGCACTGCTTTGGTACAGTGATATGTGCTGCGTTGCCACATTCATGTACTGTTCTTTGATGCAGTGATGCAATGCTTTGATGCAGTGATGTTATACTTTGATGCAGTGATGTAATGCTTTGATGCAATGATGTAATGCTGTGACTTCGGCACTATCCCGCACAAGAGTGCTCTACATGTACTGCTACGAGACCGGTGGCGAAAACTCTGCATGCTTAGTTTGCGTACCCCCGTACTTCGTGGACTCCTTAGCGCAGCACAGGGAAATGAGGCTGATTACTCATTTCTTACCAAAGGCATGGTGTGTCTGTTTGAAGAGTTTCTGAACGCTGCGTCTGCTGTCTTGTACAAGAGTACTGTTGTGTGTTTGTATGGGGTGAGCTCATGTGTGCGTACACGCACGTGTGTGTGTGTGTGTGTGTGTGTGTATGTGTGTGTGAGGGGGGGGGGGGTGTTCGTGCGTGTGCGCTCGTGCTCGTGTGGGCACGCGTGCGGGGGCGTGCATGCATGCATGCACGTCTATTTGTTCACTGCTGTCCTTCCGCTCTCTCTTGGCTGCAGGTCTATTGAAGTATGGGGTAGTCTTAGCAATCTTCATGATCAGCAGCGTCGACGCCAAGATCTGCTCGATGCTGAGGAAATGCGTCAACAAAGTAAGCATATCAAGTTTGTCATCGTCGACTGTTGCTTTACTCCCAGTTGTCCCATATGGTCTAGTGGTTAGGATTCGGCGCTCTCACCGCCGCGGCCCGGGTTCGATTCCCGGTGTGGGAACACCTCTTTTTTTTTCTTTTTCTTTTTTCTTTCAGTACCAACGGCCAATTTTTCTGGGGAGTTGTACTTTCACTCTTCTAGCATAGGATTGGCAAGCTCTACTGTGCACGGTTATTTTTTTCTTCAATCCAAACACGCAAGTGTGGTCTCTCCGCTGCAGTCTGCGGTGACTTTTGCAGAGGAGAGACCATGTGTTGGCGTGTTATGATTGGAGAAAAGTCGTGCTTTCAATCGTTATCTTTGAAATGAAAGACCCCGAGCGAAAACATTTGGATTGTCTTGAAACAATGTCATATAGTATAACCTGGGTTTGCCGTACCCTGTACCAAGCGCAATCCTGTATTGACCGGACCAATTTTCATGCACCAAAGTGCTGCGGATCAAAGTTGCATCCCTCGATCGAGCCGGATCCTGTCGTACATGGACAGTTTCCGCTGCACCAAGGGCGTCCGGTTAGCGTCAGCTTTTCTGTAGATCCGGTGGTCTTTGTTGACAGGCCCTTGAGGAGGATCAGTGATTCTCCTGGCTTTATGTTGCTGAACCAATCCCTGAATTGCGCTGCCCGGCGATTGACAAGACTAACTTATGACGATGGCCATGACACCGACATACACCAAATATTCCTGTAAGCAGATCAGGAGTTGCTCAGGAAATACCTGGAAAGATCAGTGCCTGTTTGTGTGTGTTTTGTTTGGCGTGTGCTGTTGTAGTTATGCGTGCCTTCCACCACAAGACGACCAAGAGAAAACCGCCGCTGGTAGGTGCTGCGAGTGTGTGTGCGTGTGCGTGTGTGTGTGTGTGTGTGTGTGTGTGTGTGTGTGTGTGTGCGTGCATCCCAGCACAAGTTGCTATGTCTAACATAGCTGTTCGCTATCATCGCTTCCGCGATGGGCATGTCTGAGGTCTGAGGTGTGTGCGTGGTGGTGGGGGGGGGGGGGGGGTGTTGTATGTTGAGGGGGTACATGTGTGTGGCTGTGCTTGGGAGCGTGTGCGTGCATGTGTCCGTGTGGGTGTGGTGGGAGGAGAGGAGTGTAGGTGTGGGGGGGGGGGGGGGGGTACACTCACGTTAGTTGCCGGTGGTTGCATCCGTAATGCCAAGATACTTGCCAACATCCACCATCATAATCGGATTTTGAAAACTGTTGGTAATGGAGAGGTTCCGCACTACGTAAAGTTGAGCAACTTTACGTTAGTGGGCGGGAAAAACCCGTGAATTCGCGAGTTTTCACTCCACTTACGGAAAGTTGTCTACGTAGAGTACGTAGATAGGACTCTGATAACGTAGGTGCTCCCTAAGTGGATTGGGGTACAAATTTATGACTTCCCTCCCGAGGTCGATCCGGTCGTACACTGCCGCGTTCGGAGTTGGCAAGGGCAGCTACGTCATTTGAAAACTCTGTATGGCGGAACACAGATCCGCATGCAGTTTACGTAAGATTTCCGTAGATCGACTACGTTTTTTACTAACGTAATTACGTTATGCGGAACCTCTCTATTGATTTTCAAAGTTGGTGACAAGTCTCAGAATACCAGTAGTGGGTTAGTTCGTTCCACGCAGTTTGTCTTTCTTTTCCTGTGTAGTTATAGTTTGATGCCTTGTTCCCACTGTCTATGTGCAGACCAACAAATTTGACATCACGTCCCACCATTGCAGGGTTATCCTCTACGCTATCTGTGGGTGAGTCAGTGTAGCATATGAGTAACTTGTATTCCTATTCCTGGTCAGAGCAACGATTCTGCGCTCGATACCTGGTGGTGTCAGATCTGTTACTGGTGGTACTTCTGGTCTTCTTTCTCGTGCGTGAAAATACGTGTGTGTGTGGGGGGGGGGGGGGGGGTGTTCAGAGAAAGCACAAATGTCCACTCCAGGGTAACAACTTGAATTAATTTCCACGTGCACCTCCAAATCTGTCTCGGAGTTCATTTCTATATTTTCGGTGGACATTCTTTTTCGCTTCGCTTTTCCTGACAGAAATTCTCTTGTGTGTGCGCTGAAAACCGGTGCGTACGTCTGGACTGGCTCTCACTCGATGCTTGCTGAGAGCTTCCACTCGGCATTCGATGTTGTTAACCAGGTAAGGTGGCTGGCTGGCTGTTTAGTGTGAACAGGTAGTGTGAGTACAGATATGGTGGGGTGGTGGTGGTGCTGCTGGTGCTGCTGGTGCTGCTGGTGGATAGGCTTCCGCGGAATGTGCCGGCATAATTTCAGGAATTATCGTTGTGATTTTTAAAACGGGAATTATTGGCGAATTTTGTGGAATAATCGGTAAAATCTGAGCGATGCCCCCTTTTTTCTATTTTTTTCATTTATAACACCCTGATTTGTACCAAAAAAAGTTGTGATCCTGCAGTTGATTGCTCTGTATTTCAAAAAAGGAAAGAAAAATCAGCTTCCATGCGAGTCTCACGCGAACCGTGATTTTTTTGCCCGTACAAGTGGCAACAATACCCGTACGTGGTACGGTATCTGCGAAAAAAAGGGAAGAAAAAAAAGCATTATTATGAGAATTATCAGTGAGATTACGGGAATAATCGGTCGAAATTTTGAGCAATGCTCAAAGGAATTATTGGTAAAACTACGAGCATATTCCTCGGAAGCCTACTGGTGGAAGTGCTGCTGGCGGAAGTGCTGCCGGTGGTGTTGGTGATGCTGCTGGTGGAAGTGCTGCTGGTGGTGTTGGTGATGCTGCTGGTGGTGTTGGTGGTGCTGCTGGTTCTGCTGCTGCTAGTGCTGGTAGGGGTGGGTGTGGCAGGAAGCGGATTTTGTTGTTCCGCCTGTTCTACTGTGCATTGATGTGATTTAGCCAGTGCTGTTTTTTTGGTTTTTTTTTACTAAAAAACACAGCCCTACTAATAATCAGGGGAAGAGGACAACTGAAATGACGCTGTGTGAGTGATTTGAGGAAAGGGCGTAGGTGTTTGCTTACCTGTGCCTGTGTGCGTGCATGTGTGTTTATTTGTGTACTACGCGTGTGTACGTATGTATGCTTGTGTCGGTGCATAGTCTCTACTACTGCTTGGCTACTACAAGTCATGCTCCTCACCTTCTTATGACCATCCGTAAGTTACCTGCTACTTGACCCTCTTGTCTTACACTGGCAACTCTGCACTAAGATATCAATGAGAACAGAAGGCGGAACACGATTGTGTTGAAAATCAGAATTTCACACTGCTATGTGATAGGGCAACGTATAATAATAATAATAATAATTATTATTATTATTATGGGTGGTCGAGGAATTCTATCATTCCGGGATCTCCTGGATAGAACCCGTGTCCGGGTGGCGCGGTACCTACAAGCCCACCCAAACGTGCCACTGTTGGCTGCTGTTAAGCGCCATCACGACAATGATGTGGCACCGTCAAAATCAGTTACACGTCAAGCCTCCAGACTTCTGGGTGAACTTGACCTACCCGACTTGGAGACTGCCACAAAAGTCATTGTCAAGAAGGCCGTTGCTCTCCGGTGCCTGGCCGTTATCCAAGGTAAGCCTCTCCATGGCCAGTTCTGGAGACGAGCTTCTGATGCTGGCTTGGACCTGGGCTTGAGTTTTCGCTGGCTGAAATCGCCAACGATCAGGCCTGCGACAGAGGGACTCTTGCTGGCTGTACAGGATCAGGCCATTGCGACCAGGCACTATCAGGTCACGGTCATTGGACGGGGAGACGTTGTGGACATTTGTCGAGTTTGCGGCACTCGCGGAGAAACAGTTGATCACATTGTGGCCTGTTGCCCAGCCCTAGCCAAAACACTGTATATCGAACGGCATGACACGCTCGTCAAGTTGGTGCATTGGGCACTATGCAAGCGGCATGGTCTGGGTCAGCCGGGAAGCAACCCGCTGAAGCATCATCTTGTGCCTGTCACGGAAAATCCTGACATGAAGCTCCTGTGGGAGTTCAATATCCCAACGGATACGCAAGTGCGCCACAACCGTCCAGACCTGGTGTTGCGGTCCAGCACACAGGTGCTGCTGATGGATGTCAGTGTTCCACTGGACCAGAATGTGCCCACAAAAATCGCCGAAAAAATAACAGAGTACGCTCCCCTTTGCCAAGAGCTGCGGCGCATCTGGCATGTGGATGATGTCCGCGTTGTGCCCCTGGTTGTTGGGGCGCTTGGTGGACTGACTGGTGTGTCCCTCTCACACTTTGTGTTGGCATTGGCAGGCACTCTGCGCATTGAAAGGGCTCAGCAATGTGCTATCCTGGGCACGCTGAACATCATCAAGTCGGTTCTTGGCATTCGGCATTAGGCTCCTCATGTTACGGGTAGAGCTAGTCTGTATAAACCTCCAATACCGCATTTGCTTTGACATCCATGAATGTGCAGTATGACGGTTCTCACAGCCTGATTTTTCTCTTGCCATTTGAGTATGTCCGGCATTCATCTCTTCCCCTATTTCTACAGGTCTATTCCTGTACTGGTAGTCCATTTTTGTAATTACTCTTTTTGTATTCGAATATGTCCTGTCCTCCTCCATCTTTTTGTATTCGAATATGTCCTGGCATCCTCCATCGTACTGCTTATTTCTGTCCGTCTCTCAGTTTCTGCGTCGGCTTTCAATATTTTTGCTTTGGTTTTTACAATCCTTTTTGCTTCGGTCTTCATTGCGTTGGCCATTTATCTATTTTTTTTTCTCTCATTACCCTTGGTCTCTTTTGGCCCGGTGATGGGGTTCTTACCTCATGTCATGACAACGTGAGTGAAATAAAGCCAACTCCATAATAATAATAACGGGGTTACGATTATTCGACTTCTTTATGTACTGCGAAATCGAATACAGAGGATTTGCTGTGTGACCTTCATGCACATAATGTAACTTGTTGTTGGTGCAACATGCCAGCAAGCTGAACAACTGTGGTGTTGAGTCCTACAGTATTTCCCAGAATATAAGTCACACCTTGTTGTTGCTGTTGCTGTTGCTGTTGTTGTTGTTGTTGTTGTTGTTGTTGTTGTTGTTGTTGTTGTTGTTGTTGTCGTCGTCGTCGTTGTTGTTGTTGTTGTCGTCGTCGTCGTCGTCGTTGTTGTTTCTGCTGTTTGCAGGTATGGTCACACACGTCAGATCTACGTATACGGTCTGTTCAGTGGTTTCTCGTTGTTCTTCATCGGCGGACTGTACAATATCTACACTGGTAGTCTGGCTTTCTTGGAGCCGCATGGACTTGAGTCTCTGCATCTGGTCAGTTTGTTCGTCTTTGCTCTGAATCCATGGGGTTTAGCAGAGTGTTGTTTGCTTCGCAATTTTCCCGAACCAACTGGATCACGAAACCCATGCATGCTTGTGTTAGGATGTTGACAATCACACATACAGCTTACGCTTCTCTCTCTCTCTCTCACTCTCTCTCTCTCTCTATCTGTCTGTCTGTCTATCTATCTATCTGTCTCTCTCCCCTCCCCCTCTCTTTGTTCATTCTTTCCATCTGGCCCCAGGCATGATGTGATAAATCCATAATGGTTGTGTGTTTTCCATTCTTTGCAGGCCTTTCTTATGCTAACTGGATCGTTTGTTGTCGAAGGAGGTAAGCAACACAGTGAAAAGTACCAGGAATGGACACGGATGCACAATAGTCAATAGGGTATGAATATGATGACTGCAGAAGTCAGCAAATCACGACTCCTGGGTCGATTTGACTTGCACTGACCACAGCCAAGTTGGGTGTATGGTCGGTGTACCGCATGTGTTGCACACAGCTGTGATTTTCGTCTGTGGGTACTAGGAGTGCCCAGTTCTGTCACTACCGGCGGATGTGTCGCGCTTGTTTGAAGGGAAATCACCCTAACATGTGAATCCACACAACTACAACTTTTCCAAAAACTGAATCCAAGTGGATCGGAAAGTTAGCGTTGTTGTGATGGCAGGCTGGCTATGCTGTAACCCTTTCAAGCCCTAACTCGGACACAACTCTAGACCAGTATTGGTGAACAGACACATTGACATTGACCTGTGCATCGTTTAGATACCCGTGGTGAGCTCACTTATCCGGTCCTCTTTTATCCGGATCCCTCGCCATCCGGAAGAACATCGTTGCTTACCGATATACAGCATATGTCATGTACCCATACAGTATGTGTGTTCGATTATCCGGTTCCCTCGCCTATCCGGTTATTTGTGTGGAAAACGGATGTGGTCTGACTGTACCCGTACTGAGTCGTTTTGTTTGTTGCCAGTACAGGTATCTCTATGATTCTTGCTGGTGTTGTTTGGGATTCGTTTCATGCTCACCCTATCCCTGCATGTGTCAGGACATGTATAGCGGTATGATGATGTTATGTGTGTGTGTCCGTGTGTGTGTATAATTATGTAATTGTGTGTGTCCGTGTGTGTGTATATGTAATTGTGTGTGCGCCGTAGCCACGTGCTACCAGGCATTTCGTCGTGTCAGCCAGCTTAGCCGGGAAGCGGGACTCAGCTTCTTCTCATATGGTATGTCACCTGGGTGTGTGTGTGTGTATGTGTGTATGTGTATATGTGTGTATGTGTATATGTGTGTGTGTGTGTGTGTGTGTGTGTGTGTGTGTGTGTGTGTGTGTGTGTGTGTGCGTGTGTGTGTGTGGTATGTGCAGCGATTTCCAATCGATAGATTGCGGGTTCGATTCCCGACGATTATGGTCACACACGTCTTTCTTCTCTTTCTCAGACTCTTCCTGACTTTTCTTTCATTCTCCTGGGTGGTTACCAACAGCCAGTGCATGCCGGAGTATGTGGTGTGATGTGTGTGCGGGACAAAAAAAAAAAAAAAAAAAAAAAAAATGAAAAAGACCAAAAAAGGGATTCACTGGCCAGAAAATGTCACTCCAAATAGCTGTATGGTGTAGACCAGGCTGAATAGTGACGGTCAATTCTTCAGCCTTGCAAGCTGTTGAATGGTGTTATCCCAGCACAAGTTGCTATGGCTTCTGCCGTAGCATTGCTATCATCGCCTCCGGCGATGGGCGTCAAAGGTCAAAGGTGTGTGTGTTCACGTGCATGTGTGTACCGGCAAGTGTGTGTTTGTCGTGAGTGTATAATTATATAATATGTGTCTAGGTCTGTGTGTGTATTTGTGTGTCTGTGTGTCTATTTGAACATACGTGATAACTGGTGTAAAAATACATTACCGGAGACTTCACTGTATTCTACCTTGGCTGTGAGGGAAATTCCCTTTTTTGTTTTCTTCCTGCCTGTACTGCTGACACCTTCTGTTCTTTCTGTTCAGCTTTTATTGCATGCTCTCATTGTCATAGTCCACTAGTTTTTATTATGTGTGTTTGTGCGTGTTTGTGTGTGTATCTGTGTGTGCATGTGTGTATGTGTGTGTCTGTGTATGCGTGTGTGTGTCTGTGTATGCATGCGTGCGTGTGTCTGTGTATGTGTATGCGTGTGTGTGTGTATGCGTGTGGGCATGCGTGTGTTTGTGCACTTCAGTTCAGCACGGCAGCGAGTCCAACAGCATTCACGTGCTGACCGAGGACTTCTTCTCCATCTGCGGTCTGAGCATAGCTTCTCTCTCGCTGCTGATCAGTCACTATTCTGGCAATGCTATGTGGGATGCCGGTGGTATGGTACTCATTGGAGGTGAGTGCCACTACCCAAAGCCAGCAAACACATTTGACTACTCGGGGCTTGGCAGTCTTATCTTTCTCAGGCGTCTTGGGTCTCTGGTAGTCGCGTGCGCATCACTGATGGTGGGGTGGTGACTCGGCATTCCGAGTACTGTGGAACCTCTCTTTCCGACCACGTCACTTAACCGACCACTTTACCAATCTAGTCACTTTTCCTCAGTCCCGAATTTGTCTTCATAGGCACCTGTGCAGGTTGGTCAGTTTCAAAAATCAGACCACTTTGCCCGGTCCGAAAGGTGGTCGGAATTCTGCGGCTCCCATGTATATTCATAGTTAAACTCAGCAACATTAACTTAGTGATCCATTGTTGGTTGGCTTGGGTACGTGTGTGTGTGGGCCAGTAACATGCGCGTTGGAAGGGGGTGTTGGGCTTCCTGTGAAAAGTACTAGACGCGCACATGCATGTCTGTGGGGTGTGCACGCATGCTCATATACTTGTATGCTCTTTGTTTTCTTGTCGTCGTGTGCGACAGGACTGCTCACGTTAGCATCATTCTCAATCATTCGACGTAACCAGAACATGTTGGTGGGAAAGTAAGTGTTTGGCTGTGTCTGTACTGATTGATGAGCCTGTGAATAAGCCCATTGTGCATTGCCAAATATGGAAGATATGAGTAATGCATGTGAGTACGCTGGGATCAGCAATGCACTATTACACACCCCAGACAACCATGCCCAGGTGGCTGTGTGGGGTGTTATGTGAGTACACTGGGATCAGCAATGCACTGTTCAACACCCCAGACGACCATGCCCAGGTGGCTGTGTGGGGTGCTTATGGTACAAATTACCTCACTGCGCAATGGGCTTATTGTTTTCTTCCAAACGAACCAACCCACGGTGGACAACAGTAGAGTTGTGCCGTAACTTTCAACTCACTTGTGTGTATAGTGAGATGTCAGTGTTTTGTAGCATCAAGAGTAGATAAACGAGAGTGTTCAACTCCGGATCTCGCCTGTACAATCTGCAGATACCCCGGCTCACGGCGGATTTTTTGTTGACGTCACCTTTTTTCAGAAAAACGCGCATTTTGCCGCAGAGCAGTGTGAGAGCACGTGCTGGGCACCGACCTTGTAATGTAAAGCCCGGCCAAGTGCACGAGGCAAAACTTTCCAAACGACTCGCAGCGCATGCGTCGTAGAAAAGAGTACGTCAACAACAAACTCCGCCGTGGACGAACCCATCCGCGAGTTGCACACTCTCGTTTATCTACTCTTGGTAGCGTGGATGTAACAGAGTTTTCTGCTGCTACTGCTGCTGTATTCACCCCTGTCACTGTCACTGTCACTACTCTCTAGGTCCATACAACCTCAGGTATTGTCCAAGATTATAGAACTGCTGGAAGAGGACCGCATCATCAGCTCCGTGCATGACACCAAGGGTGTTGTTATCGGTGAGTTTGTCACAATTCGAGTCAGAATGCTCTTGTAAGACAATCTCGACTTGTCGGCATGTGTCACCTCCTTTTAAGTTGATAGCTAGCACGTGCCGAGTTACGGGGTATGTTAGAAAACATGTGTGCATCTGCAATTTGTAGTTTGCCCGTACTCATACACACATGCGTGCATGCACGCATGTGTGTATGAGTACGGGCGAATGCTGATGGTGTGTGTGAGCACACATGCCCACACACCGTTGTATTCCTATTGCTACCTTGGTTTGCTTCGGTGCTGCTCACTCCCCCCATGCACACTCACTCGTACGTAGTTCCCGTCATGTTCAACTTTGTGAGTTCCTTGCAGGCCTGTCGGAAGCGGTCCAGTTGGTCAGGTTAGCACCGGACCAACTTTGTAGCTACCAATGCACGTTTACAGCTGAGAAGGGCATATGCCCCCGCCATATTATACACAACGTATGAAAGACTATGGTACAACCGGACCGATTGAAAACTGCTTCCGGCGGTGCTGCCTTGGCCGTCGTCGTTGTGTTCTCTTCTGCAGGTGCCAACGCTATTAGTTTCAAAGCCGAGATTCTTATCGATGGTAGAGAACTAGCTGCTCTGACCATAGCACGTCACGCCGACACCAACTCCTACTTCAAGGTTGGTGTGTGCGTGTGCACGTGTGTGTGTGGTGTGTGTGTGTCCCATATGGTGCAGTGGTATGTGCAGCGATTTCCAATCGAGAGGTTGCGGGTTCGATTCCCGACGATTATGGTCACCCACATCTTTCTTCTCTTTCTCAGACTCTTCCTGACTTTTCTTTCATTCTCCTGGGTGGTTGCCAACAGCCAGTGTATGCCAGAGTATGTGGTGTGATGTATGTGCGGAAAAGATATGAAGAAGACCAAAAAGTAGGGATTCGCTGGCCAGAAAAAGCCACTTCATAGCCGTGTGGTGTAAACCAGGCTGAATAGTGGCGGTCAATTCTTCAGCCTTGCAAGCTGTTGAATGGTGCAATCCCGGCACAAGCTGCTATGGCTTCTGCTGCAGCATCGCTATCATCGCCTCCGGCGATAGGCGTTCAATGGTCAATGGTGTGTTTCAGGGTGTGTGTACATACCGGTATACTTGCCATTCGAGTACATGTAACCGAGTGTTGACCAATGGACTAACTTTGCTTCTGGCTAGATGAAGTCCTGTGTCATCAATGGTGCTAGTGAAGCCTATGTCAGATCCACTCTGATTTAGCAACACAAATTTGTGCCAATGACACTGAAAACTGACTTTCAAAAAGCAGAATTCTTTGCAGACAGAGAGTGCTGTGCAGAGTGTGTATAGTGTAGTATGATTACTCCCCCGTGCCGTGGAGTATGATTACTCCCCCGTGCCGTGTAGTATGATTACTCCCCCGTGCCGTGGAGTATGATTACTCCCCTGTGCCGTGGAGTATGATTACTCCCCCGTGCCGTGGAGTATGATTACTCCCCCGTGCCGTGGAGTATGATTACTCCCCCGTGCCGTGTAGTATGATTACTCCCCTGTGCCGTGGAGTATGATTACTCCCCTGTGCCGTGGAGTATGATTACTCCCCCGTGCCGTGGAGTATGATTACTCCCCCGTGCCGTGGAGTATGATTACTCCCCCGTGCCGTGGAGTATGATTACTCCCCCGTGCCGTGGAGTATGATTACTCCCCCGTGCCGTGGAGTATGATTACTCCCCTGTGCCGTGGAGTATGATTACTCCCCCGTGCCGTGGAGTATGATTACTCCCCCGTGCCGTGGAGTATGATTACTCCCCCGTGCCGTGGAGTATGATTACTCCCCCGTGCCGTGGAGTATGATTACTCCCCCGTGCCGTGGAGTATGATTACTCCCCCGTGCCGTGGAGTATGATTACTCCCCCGTGCCGTGGAGTATGATTACTCCCCCGTGCCGTGGAGTAAGGATACCGGTAGTTGTGTTCCAGATTATTGCATGTCCAGGAGATAGTGCTCACTGCTATTTTGTATAACCTTGTGTCTTATTCTCTCTCTCTCTCTCTCTCTCTCCCTCTCTCTCTCTCTCTCTCTCTCTCTCTCTCTCTCTCTCTGTCTCTCTCTCTTTCTCTCTCTCTGTCTCTCTCTCTCTCTCTCTCTCTCTCTCTCTCTCTCTGTCTCTCTCTCTGTCTCTCTCTCTGTCTCTCTCTCTGTCTCTCTCTCTGTCTCTCTCTGTCTCTCTCTCTCTCTCTCTCTCTCTCTCTCTCTCTCTCTCTCTCTCTCTCTCTCTCTCTCTCTTTCTCTCTCTCTCTTTGTCCATGTCACTCTGCCCCTGCAGTCGATGACCAATCTGAGCAGTGACATTCAGCGGCAACAGTTTCTTCACCGTTTTGCCACAGACATGACCAATGAGTTGGGAGAACACATTGACTTTGTAGAAAAAGCTATCAAGGTAAGAAATTAATAAATTCGTCGTTCTGATCATATCATTAATTTTCTTCCGCCTTGGTCATTTCGACTTGTACATGTACTTGTTTGGCGGGCTGCTTTCATCACATCGTAATGCTTCAAGTTTGTGCTAGCAGTTCTAACGTTTTGCGACTGTTTTGTTCTCCGTGCAGCACATTCCAAGCACCACCCATAGGTTGTGGGAGGGGGGGGGGGGGCACATGTTTGGATCACTTTGCCAGGTGCTCTATGCCGAAAACGTACATGATTGTGTGAATGTAATGTGAGTACAGTCAGACCTCGCATAACGGCACACATCCGTTTTCCACAAAATTATCCGGATAGGCGAGGGAACCGGATAATCGAACACACATTCTGTATGTAAGCATGGCATATGCTGTACATTTGTAACCAACTATTTTCTTCCGGATGGCGAGGGATCCGGATAAACGAGGACCGGATAAGCGAGGTCTGACTGTAACATGCCTACTTTGTAGCGACAACTCTTTGCACCACCAAACCTGAATTCTCCTGTCTGTGTTTGCGCTTTCGTGCTTGCAGGCCAAATTCCCGTCGGTGCGTCACATCGACTTGGAAATCCTCTAGACACCCGAATGTATGTTATAATACTGTACCCTCCCAAGCCCCCCCCCCCCCCCCCCATTTCTAGATGATTTATGACGACCTGTGCGTCCTGAATGGGCTTCTTTGAAGCCTGTATACTTTGCGACGACGCTTTCTATTCACACGCGTGGATTGTATATTAGCCATTTTTTCATTTCTTTTACTCCCCCTGTGCTGGTGTTTCGCAACTATTAATTTTCTTTTTTTGTTGTCCTATCGGGGAGTTAGCCCACCATCACCTACAATAATGATGTCATGTCATGTCGTGTCTGTCTGTCTGTAACCTACCGTAATTGTATCACTTGTATGCATTGTGTGTAACGTTACTTCAACGAACAAAAAATGTAGATTTCCATGGCTGTGCTTGTACCGGTGGTGGGACTGTGTAGAATTACTAGAAGTTGAACATCTTTTTTCTTACAGCCCTTCTATCCCTGTGCCCCGGCCCGTTCAAGGCCAACAAGTACTAGTATGGGAAATGGGAAATGAGATGTGCTTTTCAAGGCCAACCCGGAAATAGCAGTGACGATGAATAAGATGGTATGGTTGGCAGGTCTACAATCTATCAATTTGGTAGAATTCCCAGCAGCACCCCGCCGCGGGGGGGGGGGGGGGGAGGGTGCGGTTACTGATCACTGGCATGAAAGCTGATGTGCGCTTCTTGCGCTGCAAACTGATTTTGATGGCAATGCCTACTGGTGCGAGGTTGCATGCTCTCTGATGCTGCGCGTGAAAGTTAGTCACTAGTCACAATCGCAACCTTTAGTGCAATCATACCGGCATACGGTTTAGAGAAAGCAGACCACTCTTATCAAACTCAGTTCGATATTGTTGCAGAGGGACTGGGGAAGAGTATGGTGCTCTGAAACCTTTTCCTATAAATGAAGCTGCAGCAAGCCTCACCACTGCTATCATGTACTGTTTGTCATGAATAATAATAATAAATAATATTGACTGAGAGCGTGTGGCCTGGCTCACTTTATGGGTACATAAAAGTTCTAATTGTCACTTTCAAGTCCCCGGCTCTATTTATTCATACCGGAACTGCTGCTGCTGCTGCTTAGCCCCAACTGCCCAAGTCTATATAGACTAGCTTAGCAAAGCTTGAAGCAGCACTTGTTAAAGTTTATAGAGAATCGCCCACCCTGACTGAGAGTCCAGAATCCAGAACAAACTCAAGCATGGACGTTTGTACCTGCAATACCCGGTACACAAGAAAAATATCAACACTGCATGATTGTTAGGGGTCATCCGTGAATACTGATATTTATTTAGAAACGAAAACTAGTCGTTTCTCTTCAACCCCCCTCCCTCAGAAACAAACACATACAAACGATGCATAGTATCGATATTTTTGTCTTTTCTTTTCTGGACGTGCCCACACATACAAACTGTGCGTCGATATTTTTCGAGAAACGAACAGGCGCTCAACCCCCTCCCCCTAAACGACTAGTTTTCGTTTCTAAATAAATATCTATATTTACGGATGGCCCGTTTAATACGGAAATATTCAGAAACGCCACAACATTCTTGTGCTTCAGATTTCAGACTAGAGGATACAAGATCAAGCAAAACTGCAAGACAGCAGAAAAGAAGTTAAACTGCAAAGGCAAAAAGCCACGGCATGTACAATGCCGGCCAAAACAATCGAAACGAGAATTCTCGTAAGTATGTTGAAGTGGAATCACAGTACAGAAGGAAGAAGAAAATGCAAGGGTGGATTGGACTGAAGACCTTCCTGCCCCTATTTGAAACAGTTCCAAGTAGGAAATTGCTATTTATTTCCGTTGGTAAAAATCCTAATATCTAACACTACACAAAACCTACATGTAAAGGCGCATAAAAAATAATGCTGCTGCTGCTGCTGCTAAAATCCTTGTGTAGCTTAGCAAGGATAAGAATTCTCCAAGATGGACAAGATCGAACTCAGCAACGACGTCACAATCAACAGCTCTAGGTCAAAGTGATCGGGTGGCAGAAACACCCACCTACAGTAGAACTGCATCCAGAATTAACTATCAGAATTATTCTTTGTCAATGGGTGCAAACCGAGAGGCAAGGGTGCCCGGTGATCCGAGTGTATCGTGATGATCATTATTTCGATAAGACCTTCAGACTAGCGCTACTCTGTAGAAAGACCAATGCACACTCTACCATGTAAAGCATGTTGCAGAGACGACAACAAGATCGACGCAGCTAGCTGTCTGGAGATTGAGTATATAAAATTTATAAATAAATAAAATAAATAGCATCATATAACTGAATTGGCGGTTAGACACGACCCAATGGCCGATAAAGCCTTGACTTACAGGGTGACGTCGGTTCCTGGACAGCGGAACAGTTAGAGCCGGATTCCTCGCGCTTCACTCTGCTCGGCGTCGCGAATGGCCGCCTCTTGCTCTTGCTGAGCAGCGGTGGCAGCACGCCTGCCCAGGACATTGTAGGCCACGACGGCGGGCACCATCAGCAGCAGGCCGATGAGCGTGTAGGTGGAGGCGCCGGCGTGGTAGACTGGGTGCCACGAGACGTGCGCCGTCCGGTCCATCTTGAACAGGTACCAGAAGATGGCACCAAGCGGCGTGATCAGCCCTTGCACTACCACCAGGTAGACAGCGCCGGCCGCGTACTTAATCAGCATCAGGCTGAACAGGTTGGCCAGGCAGTAGAACGTCACAAACATCCAGCAGTAGCTGACCGGCACCGAGCAGCTCGGGTCCGGGTTGAACTGCGTCGGGTCGTTCAGCGTCGACGCACAGCTCGCGCTCACGTTCGCAAAATACTCGCTGGGGCCTCGCGGGTTGCCGAACATGCAGCGCATGCCGTCGCTCATGTGCGCCTTGAAGTCGTGGAAGCCACTGACGGTGCCGAAGACCGGGATGAAGTCGACCCAGAAGAGCACCACGTACAGGACGAACGTCCAAAAGTTGATCCAGAACATCAGCAGCAGCGCGTTGACGTCGTGTTCCTTTGCCGCCTCGCCGCCGCAAGCCTCCGCTTTCTTTGCCGACTGCTTGAGCAGCTTTTCCTCGACGACGTTGTTGATGGCCAGCGGTACGAAGCCGATCATGAACACGCAGCTCCAGACGAAGCGCGTGATGGCCTTGGTCTTCACCGGCCCACTGCTGCCCTGGCCGTCAATGTTGAAGATGACTGGCTCGGTGGAGATGACGAGGCCGATGATGACGATCAGGCAGCAGATCAGACGCGGCGCGCTCTCCTTCTTGCGCAGGATCACGTAGCTGAAGAACACGGTGAACGGTATGATAATCGTCGACAGCAGCGGCTGCAGGAACACCGGTGTGCGATCGTCCGGGCTGCTGAACACCAGCAGAAGGCCGTTGAGGACGTTGAAGCTGCCGAGCAGCACCCTGTTGGAGTGGCTAACGTTGGAACGAAGCGAGAACTCCGGGTTCAGGAAGCGCGCCAGCAGAAGGAGAGTGCCGAAGAAGACGATGAACCAGAACGCCGAGAACAGCAGCAGGAAGTAGACGTCGCCGACGGGCTTCAGCTCGCCGCAGATCATGTGTGAGCCCAGTGCGCTGGAGAACATAGGCAAGGTGACCGTCATGCCGACCTGGATGTACAGACAGACACACAGGTAGAGAACAGCACAACGGCTCGGGTCAATTGCGGGCAAATAATCCTGATAATTATGTTCGGGAAATCCCCTTCAACAGCTGTGCCTTGCCCGGCTATCTGTAGTGCATGCGCCTAGAAAAGATAATGGTAACTATTCTGAATGGTCGTAGTAAATGGTGACAAGTATAGACTGTTAGGCTTAGTTTTAGCCCAGAATTGCCCATAAATGGTCACTCTGCGAGAGTGACCGCCTGGGATTTCAGACCACTTGGCCAAGTCCGCTGTTCCGCTCCTCAGCCTCCCGAGCCCTGTGAAATCTATGTACAGGATGCCTGCTGTGCTGTGCACTGTGCTGCGTGTGCCCGCTGCTTTCGGCCGGGACTGCGCAAGGCCTCGGTCGTCACCGGTGCTCGAGGACTGGTCCCCGCCCGACTGCCCAGCAGCGTAATTCGTTCACTCATGTATGCGTGTGTTCTCGCCGGTTCCGTTTGCTCCACCATCTCCGGCGTCATCAGGCTGCGTGCTCCATCTTCCTATCTGATGCCCCTCCGGGGCCCACGTGACCCCTGTGGCAGTGGCTCTACAGGACAGGTGTGTGTGTGTGTGTGTGTGTGTGGTGTTAGGCTGTCCCCGGGGAAAATTGCGATTCCGCGGCCGCGTTTTTGTCTGCGTTTTTTTGCGATTTTTTAAAAGACCGCGTTTTCCGCGATTTTCCCCGCGTTTTTTGAACTTTTTTGTTGCACTACACGTACACACAGTGCACTGTTCGGTCAGCAACGTCTCATCGTGGCGGCTTTTTACTCAAATATGACGAGTGCTTACACCAGAGACTTGTAACTGATTGATTTCACTACATACTCACTGAAAATTGCCGCATTCACCGCATATTTACCGCAAATTCACCGCAAATTATGCCATATTATGCCGCGTTTTTTGCGATTTTTTCCGCAATTTTCCCCGGGGACAGGGCCACGTAGCCCCTCTCTCTCCCCCCCCCCCCCCCCCCGCGACATTATTTTTTCATGAGGCCGGATTTTTCTGGCCAGGACTGTACCTAGGTACATGTATGTACATGCACCTACACTACAAGGCTACCTACAATTAAACTGTACCTACCTACACGTGCATAGTAGTGTAGCTACCTGCATGACTGCACATGTGCCTACCTGTGCTAATACGGTGAGTACTGACAGGGCAATGTTCACTGCAACAGCACTCAGCCGGATACTGACACCAAGCCTGGGTGAGATCTGAAACACTACCTGGCCCGCGTCGGACCCAGAAGAACGACTCGTACTGCCGCCCTCCTCGGGCCCGTGGATATAGTCCGGCAGGCTCACATCAGAATCTGCTTGCCGAGTGAGCAGAGGCTGCTTCGCCGAGGAGTTCAAATTCTCAGAGTTCTGAATGTTGCTCATCTTGCAGCTCGCCCACGACCCGGCTAGCAAATAGTAGACAGACGTCAACTTGTTCGTCCGGTGTCTTCCAGCTGTGGGGAGGGGCAGAACTGCTTTGGCTTGGACGAACGCCTCTCTGACGGCCAAAGTTCTCCGATCCTGTCTCTCTTGGCAGTCGAAGTACCAAATCAAAATTTTCACTTTCAAAACTCAAAATATGGAGCTCTGCACATGTGCACACCGCACGCGTGTGCACGATGATCGAAATCACGTGGTACACGTGCGTACATCATGAGCTGTACACATTATGGACAATTATTTGCGTGGTGCCAGAAAACCTATGCAGACTGAAACAAAAGAAGGAAAAAAAAAAAAAAAA